CCTAGCTATCTGGCTAAGATTAGTGTATTATCGATGTATTCAGATCAAAGAACTAATTCCTGACATTTTGACTAGGATCAGTGCTGCATCTGTGTATTCTGTTTAGATTCAAAATATAAATCGTTGGCACTCTGCTTTGTACCAGTGTAGCATCTCTATGTTATACTTCGTATTCAAGTGTCACTCCCTAGCTATCTGGCTAAGATTAGTGTATTATCGATGTATTCTGATCAAAGAACTAATTCCCTGACATTTTGACTAGGATCAGTGCTGCATCTGTGTATTCTGTTTAGATTCAAAATATAAATCGTTGGCACTCTGCTTTGTACCAGTGTAGCATCTCTATGTTATACTTCGTATTCAAAAGTGTCACCCCTAGCTATCTGGCTAAGATTAGTGTATTATCGGCTAAGATTAGTGTATTATCGATGTATTCAGATCAAAGAACTAATTCCTGACATTTTGACTAGGATCAGTGCTGCATCTGTGTATTCTGTTTAGATTCAAAATATAAATCGTTGGCACTCTGTTTGTACCAGTGTAGCATCTCTATGTTATACTTCGTATTCAAGTGTCACCCCTAGCTATCTGGCTAAGATTAGTGTATTATCGATGCATTCTGATCAAAGAACTAATTCCTGACATTTTGACTAGGATCAGTGCTGCATCTGTGTATTCTGTTTAGATTCAAAATATAAATCGTTGGCACTCTGCTTTGTACCAGTGTAGCATCTCTATGTTATACTTCGTATTCAAGTGTCACTCCCTAGCTATCTGGCTAAGATTAGTGTATTATCGATGTATTCTGATCAAAGAACTAATTCCTGACATTTTGACTAGGATCAGTGCTGCATCTGTGTATTCTGTTTAGATTCAAAATATAAATCGTTGGCACTCTGCTTTGTACCAGTGTAGCATCTCTATGTTATACTTCGTATTCAAGTGTCACTCCCTAGTATCAGATTAGTGTATTATCGATGCTATCTGACATTTTGACTAAGATTATTCTGTTTAGATTCAAAATTATCGATGCTTTGTACCAGTTCAGATCAAAGAACTAATTCCTGACATTTTGACTAGGATCAGTGCTGCATCTGTGTATTCTGTTTAGATTCAAAATATAAATCGTTGGCACTCTGCTTTGTACCAGTGTAGCATCTCTATGTTATACTTCGTATTCAAGTGTCACTCCCTAGCTATCTGGCTAAGATTAGTGTATTATCGATGTATTCTGATCAAAGAACTAATTCCTGACATTTTGACTAGGATCAGTGCTGCATCTGTGTATTCTGTTTAGATTCAAAATATAAATCGTTGGCACTCTGCTTTGTACCAGTGTAGCATCTATGTTTATACTTCGTATTCAAGTGTCATACCTAGCTATCTGGCTAAGATTAGTGTATTATCGATGTATTCTGACTCAAAGAACTAATTCCTGACATTTTGACTAGGATCAGTGCTGCATCTGTGTATTCTGTTTAGATTCAAAATATAAATCGTTGGCACTTGCTTTGTACCAGTGTAGCATTATGTTATACTTCGTATTCAAGTGTCATTCTAGCTATCTGGCTAAGATTAGTGTATTATCGATGTATTCTGATCAAAGAACTAATTCCTGACATTTTGACTAGGATCAGTGCTGCATCTGTGTATTCTGTTTAGATTCAAAATATAAATCGTTGGCACTCTGCTTTGTACCAGTGTAGCATCTCTATGTTATACTTCGTATTCAAGTGTCACTCCCTAGCTATCTGGCTAAGATTAGTGTATTATCGATGTATTCAGATCAAAGAACTAATTCCTGAATTCCTGACATTTTGACTAGGATCAGTGCTGCATCTTGTGTATTCTGTTTAGTTCAAAATATAAATCGTTGGCATTCTGTTTATTCAAGTGTCAATCCCTGATTCAAAATTATCGATGTATTCTGATAAATCCTGACATTTTGACTAGGATCACTCATCTGTGTATTCTGTTTAGATTCAAAATATAAATCGTTGTGTAGCATCTCTATATGTTATACTTCGTATTCAAGTGTCACTCCCTGGCTATCTGGCTAAGATTAGTGTATTATCGATGTATTCTGATCAAAGAACTAATTCCTGACATTTTGACTAGGATCAGTGCTGCATCTGTGTATTCTGTTTAGATTCAAAATATAAATCGTTGGCACTCTGCTTTGTACCAGTGTAGCATCTCTATGTTATACTTCGTATTCAAGTGTCACCCTGGCTATCTGGCTAAGATTAGTGTATTATCGATGTATTCAGATCAAAGAACTTTTGACTAGGATCAGTGCTGCATCTGTGTATTCTGTTTAGATTCAAAATATAAATCGTTGGCGACTAATTGCTTTAGTACCAGTGTAGCATCTCTATGTTATACTTCGTATTCAAGTGTCACTCTGGCTAAGATTAGTGTATTATCGATGTATTCAGATCAAAGAACTAATTCTGACATTTTGACTAGGATCAGTGCTGATATTTAATCATCCAATCGAGAATCTGTGGTCATGTTTCAAGTTCAACGACATCTTGGAATGGATATATGATTCAGTACTGACATTTTGCAATGGGTCATGGTTCATTGGAAGAATACAAAAAAAATTTTGTAAATAATAACGGAATTATTTGTTTTGTTTTGCTATTTGTACAAGGGTGCAAGTGCAGAATCAATTGAGGTGGAATTACTTAATGTCGGATCTGTAGCGGTTTTATTCGCATTTAGAAGTATTATAACGTTGTATGATTAGAAAGACAGAAATCATACTTTAGATGTTTCAGTTTGCTTATATCTGGACCAGTTGCAATTTAATGCAGAAGACAAGGAAATCTTTTTTTTCCTCAGTTTGGTCATTTACAGTCGTGTGATTTGGTAAAAAAAATCATCGTTGCTCATATGTTCGGTCTATGGTATCCTCAGCACCCTTCTGCGGAACCACATTTCTCTTGGCTTCAAGTCAATTTTCCATCTGTAAGTGGATTGCCCAGCATTCAGTGCCATAGAAGATTGGTATTGCGTTTTTATTCGCATTTAGAAGTATTATAACGTTTCAGTCCTTTTTTTTTCATTTGCTTCTAAGAAAATTTTTTTATGTGATTTGGTAAAAAAATCATCCTTGTTTCTTAATACTTTAACCCTCTTGCTTCAGCTTTTCCATCTGAAGGCATCTTGGCTATCCCAATGCGCCATTTTTATTTTGCTACAATTTCTGATGTGTTTATAATAATAATAATAATAATAATAATAATAGCAATAATAATGTTAATAATAATAATGACAGTCAATTGTTTTCGAATACACTCTTTTGCTATTTGCGGATGGATAATCCCTGTTGTATATGCAAATTCAGGCAGATTTGTGCTTATTTAAAGATTTATACTGCAGCTGTGCTAGAAACACAAACTGGCGTAATCAGTAGTTGAACAAAGCTATTGCGCCTAAATTCGCCAAATTCGCAGTCATAAAGTCTTTTGACTTCCTGCTAACTGAAGCTTCGGAAATGTTTCGTCTGCTCATTTTCATTCAGAAGGTTTGTGCCTACCCCTAGTAAGAAATTCAGGCCTTTAACAAAAGCTTTCCCAGACCGATATTACGTGAAAGTTGCGACATTGAAAATTGACAATGGTGAGATTCAAATCCCAGTCGTATGGTCGGAGTCCTAAGAATTTAACGACTTCGGTGTCGCTTTTCTTTGGAGGAACCACACACACACACACGCGCGCACACACATATATATATATAGAGAGATCGATATATATATATATATATACAAAGAGAGAAAAGCACTTTGTCATATATATATATATATATATATATATATATATATATATATATATATATATATATATTAATGCATGTTTCATTAAATAATATAGACAAGTTTTGTCTATTTATTTTATGCAATTTCCTTTCATATCCTCTGATAAGCTTAATAACATTATCATTGAAACACGAAAGAAAATCACCAAATTCATATATGTTTTTTAATCCTATCTATGCTTTCGGCATACATAACCCATCAGCAATGATGACAATTACATTACAATATATCAAATAATACACGGACATGGCAATAATGATAGTCTGTTTTTTGTTTGCATGGAAGATTTCCAAGCAACGACAAACTCGTGCATACGTGACGCTGGAACCGAAAATCGCACCGCGTCTCATGACATCACACATGACCACGCGAGAGTTAAAACGAGAATTGTTAAGTATGGGAAGTCGTTGGTATAAACTAATGGCTTCTGTCATCAATTATAGGCATTTAAGAATATTTGTGGTTACTGAAGGCATTAAGTTTATAATACCCAGAAATTCATAAACAGATGTCCGCAAGCACAGTGGATAAAGGCGTTAGTTAAATCCAGTGAGAGGAACCAAAGAGTTTTGAGTTCAATACCTGGTTGAGTTCAATACCTGGCAGTGGAGAACTTTCAGAGGGGAATTAACAGGAGATAACTGACATCCATTAAACATGGCACATGGAACTAGAACAGTCTACCCCAGTGAGCGAAATAAAGGGTTCAGTTCGACATTCCAACCACCTGAAGAAGGCCGGAGCGTACAACGGCCGAAACGTTGTGATAAATATGGCGACAAAGATGAGGACAATAATGTAAATAGTGTGGATTGATCATTTCTCTTTTCTCTCTGTTGAAATTCAAAGAGTCGTTTGCACTCGTCGTATCTTGCTTATGTCGTTAAAATGTTTTAAAAAAAAATTATATTATTTTTAAAAAGAGACTAGATTAGTTACTATAGCCAGTTATTTGGAATAATATCAGGCTGTAGTTCTATGGCGAAATTCTTTGGTAATAAATAAATATCATTTTTCAAAGCGACGCTCAACTGTGCTGCCCTCCGTTATACTGACCTATTTGATATTATGTGGCGGTTATGTTAGCCGATAGAAGATTTTTCGCTGAATTTCTATCTTGTTTCCCGCATATCGCCAATCCAACACATCAAAGACAGAAAATCAATATTCCTCCGCCATGCAGCCTACGAAACAAGTTTTTTTTCTTCTTTTAATCCACAGCATCTCATCGCCACCTTTATTTCTGTTTATACAATTACGTACACACTGGCTTTACACCGTAAATTTATCTATCTATCTATCTATCTATCTATCTATCTATCACTGTTCATCTATCTATCTATCTATCTATCTATCTATCTATCTCACGATGTCTATTATCTATCTATCTATCTATCTATCTATCTATCTATCTATCTATCTCACAATATCTATCTCTATCTATCTATCTATCTATCACACATTGTTCATCTATCTATCTATCTATCTATCTATTGTCTATTATCATCTATATCTCTATCTATCTCATCAATGTCTATTATCTATCTATCTATCTATCTATCTATCTATTTATCTATCTATCTCACAATGTCTATTATCTATCTATCTATCTATCTATCTATCTATCTATCTATCACATATTATTCATTATCTATCTATCTATCTATCTATCTATCTATCTATCTCTTATTCACTATTATTTGTTCATAAGAATCATTCAGTTGCCTTTGTTTCATGCTTTAATATATACAGTTGTGATACAATCTCACATTTGAACTTCCAGTTGTCATGTTGATTTCATTCTATTTTGACTTTCCCCCTCTATTTCTTATTTATTTTCAGCACGTGACCAATTTTGTTTTTTTTGCTGTTCTTGTCTCAACAATATTTGCTTATATTTAACGCCATCTCTTTTTGCTTGTGATACACGCTTTATTGTCTTTATTCAAACTTCCTCTGACCCATTCCAACTTTATGGGCTGTCTTCATCTTTGTGGTACATTTCCCCCACACCCGTTTACTCAAGTTTAGATCACTCCCCTTTTTCTAATCCATTCCGACCTTGATGGTGATTTTCTAAGCTTAGATAACTTAGATGTTGCACAAATCCGAAAGTATAAGGATCGAACTCACTACTAAGTCGTAATTGATCCAGCGAGACAAGCTTGTTAACCATTACACCATACCGAGGTACCCCATTCCGACCTTATGACCTCTCTTTCCATAGAACGTGCGATTAAAGAAAATGGCACCAGAAAGAACATATAACTGGAATTTTTTTAGACACATCATGAGGAAGGAGGGTTTGGAAATCTTAATATTCTCAAGGCATATATAGGGCAAGAGAGAGAGAGAGAGAGAGAGAGAGAGAGAGAGAAATCAGCGAACCATTTACCTGACAAGCTTGTGTAAATGGATGGTGGTACGAATGAAAGAGCCTTAGTGTAAGGAGAGAAACTGCTAAGAGCGACAAGGAAGTCGTGGGGATCCATGTCCTGAATTGACGCGATACATAGAAGAAGAATGTTATTTTCCGATCCATTAATAGCATGATTTGTTTTTTCTGAAAAAAAGAACTTTCGATTTGTTTGCTTTTCTTTTCTTTCTGTCACATATTCCGTAATCTGCTATTACACTACGCAAAGCGTTGTATACTTGTTTAATTTAACGTCCCCAAAATGTAATACACATCTTCAGTTGCCCCTTTTGTACCTCCTATACATTTCGACTTCGATTAGTTTATTCATTCTTTCTTTCATCGATGACCTTATCTAATATTTATTTTCGTTTGTAAGAATTCATTTACCGCGCTTAATTTTCAAAAAGATCATTCGCCATTCCTATGCCTCTTCGGATTTTAGTGTCACGATTATAGTCGTCTATAATTCTTTTATTTCTATGTGCCATGTCCCTTAAGGACGTTGGCAATCATAGCTCTCCACAATTTCCTGTCTTTTGAAGGTCTTGGTTCTGACAACTATTTACACAAACTCGTTCAGTTAGTTATACCCTGGGAGTGTCATAGTTTCTAATTCCTCTTTCCTCATTATGTACCCTAGAAATATCATCTGTCTTATGTTAATTATAATGTCCTCTTTGATTTCATCTTCGTCGCTGCTCATATATTTAGCCCATACTATTCTCAGTATCCTTCTGTAGAACCATATTTATGTTGCTTCAAATCTTTTCTACGTCTGTGCGGTGATTGTCTAGTATTCATTGTCATATATGAGGAGTGATATTATATAACATTTCAGTACTCTAGTCTTTGTTTCTAACGAAACTTTTCCGTTACTTAATACTTTGCTTTGCTTTTGGAAGGCATCTTATGCGTTTTCGGATATCTGTATTGTACATTCAGTCCTCTGTTAAAACAGATATTTAATATTTTATACTTGCTTGATTTTGGTATTTCCAATTAAGTACTTCGTATTTTGTTTATAACTCTATATTCTGTCTATTTGCAATTGATGATTAGTCCTTTCTTCTCACTTTCCGTCACTACCATCTGTAGAAGTTGTTTCTGTGTCTGCTATCAATACTGTGCCATCTGCATATTTTATCTCGTTATGAGTGTGACCGAAATTAAAGAATCCTGTTAGGAATTATAATTCCTTTAGAATCACCTCCCTGTATAAATTAAATAAGTCCGGCGAGAAGATACATCCTTGTCTTACATCTCTCTACGAAAGTTTTCTCACAACATGACTTTGACGTCCCCGATGTATACTGGACATCTTGAGATGATCTTTTGCTGACAACCGGCCATTCCGTTTTCTGTTATTTTATGCGTTGCCCTTTTATCAATATCTAAAGTTAATCTGCTAATGTGTAGGCTTTAGGTTGATGAAAATACTTATGGAATATAGCTATTCGAAATCATTATTTGTGAAACATTAGAAATTGTAAGAAATTTGTTTTCTTTTTTGTTTTGGCCAAGAGAGTGTATCAATATATGTTTTTATTCAATTGTTCTTTTCTGTTATTGTTTGTATGATCTTTGACGAAGAGATGTTCATTGTCTTTCTAATATCAATCTTACTACTTTCGACCTGGAGACATGCTTTTCCCACTTCAAATATAAGCAAAATATATTCAACACTGCATTTTTCGATGTTTTTTTTTTATATATATTTATTTTCCTACTTTTATTTATTTTTTATTGATTCTTTTGATGCCTCGTCTTCATATGAACATCGTTACTTCTTTTGTTGACAGGAGTAATACATTTGCATCATGCATTTTGACACAATATTTTTTCCAACGAAATTTATTCTCTTTCATTGGCATTTTCCTCTGTCACACTTCGCAAATTACAAACGTCTTTTTCGACCCCAAACCGACCCTTTCCACATTTCTATCTGACGTCCATGAATTTTTTAGCGCATTTATTGCTGTATTTTCCTCTTTTTTTTTTCTTATCCAGACATTAATTTTTCCTCCATACATTTTCTTTCGCGTTATCCTTCATTTAAATCTTTCTTCCTTTTTTTTTCTTTTTCTTTTGCTTTTATTCTTTTTTTCCTCTTTCTTTTCTGGAATGTTTTTTTTTGTAAGTTTTTTTTTTTCATTCTTATTCTCTACAATTTATTTCAGTTCGTAGATTTTCTTTCGACATTTTTTGTCACTCGCCTAACCATTCATTAATCTTGCTTTCTAATCTTTCCTCTTCACCTAAATTTACCAAATTCTTTTTCCAGCTGAATGGTAATGGTTAACGAGCTTCTCTAGTAGATTGCTGCTACTGCATAGAGAATTCATTCCTCAGCGAGTGTTTTGCACCTGTCGTCTTGTATTTATCTAATCTTCGTAAATAATGTTATTACCATATTAATACTGTAGTTAGTTTTATATCTCCCTAAGGACACAATGTTCATGGTCTTGTGTCAGGCTAAGGTTACTAATTTTTTTTTAAAGAAATACATCACATTGAGCCACTATTGCTTTGTGTCAGATTGGTAGCAAGTTTTAAAACCTAAGATGCGAACTACAAATAGAAGATTCAAATTCAGTTAAGTGCCATCACGTGATCCACGCTTGGGCGATCATGTCTCTTTCGATTCAAGACTGACTAAGCAGAAGATTTTCCCGTCGTAGGTTGCCGTTTCTTTCTGAGATAGACTGGTTACCAACCAAGGCTAATGGATCCAATCTGTCCTGCTATTCAACAGTGGGGGAATAAGAGATGGGATGAAGAGATTCGTATCTTTCGCAATGGGATTAGTACTCAAGTGAATGTAACGAACCCAACTGGAAATTCAAACTCGACTCAGGACACAATGCCACATCGTGTAGATGTTTAAATATCTGGGAAGTGTTTAACCAGAGGATGGAAAACACTAAGCAAAGTATTAAGAAACAGGAAAATTTCGTTAGTAACAAAGAAAAGAGTGCTGAACTGTTATGTAATATCAATGGGTGCTGGACAACCTCCTTACAAGAGAAAACTGGAGGCAACAGAAGTCTGGTTCTACAGAAGGATGCTGAGAATACTATAATGGGGCGCGTAAGCAACGAAGACATGGAAGGAAAAATGATAAAAGGACAACTGAAATTTCAGAGACACATGACTAAGAAGGAAGGTTTGGAGAATTTGACACCCACAGGTTATATCGAAGGCAAAATGACAAGAAAAAAGCAGCTGGTCAGCTACCTGACTAACATGCGTGAATAGTTGGCGGTACCAAGGTGTGAGAGGTGACAAAAAGACGTAGGCTTCTAAGAGTTGAAAAGGATAGGAAGTTGTGGAGTGCCATTATTCACCACGTCCTAAAGGGACACGGCATAAAGAAGAAATGTGTTCGACTTTCACTGGTTGTTTCATTATTGCCTCTTATTTCCTTTTGTTTTTTTTTTTCGCCTTTTTTTCTTTTTTTTTTTTTCATATTCCGTATTTTGTTTCTGTTCTGTTTTTCTTCCGTAAAGAATCATTTTGGTTATTTATTCTTTCGCTTTAGATTATGTTAATAATTTGCCGCTCCTTTTTATGTTTCGGTTTATAGTCTTCTCTTGTCGTGCCTGTCCCAGGCTTTTATTTCGCTTTTTACTGATTAACGTTTACAACATACACGGTGAAGCCTCAATGGTTAATGTCATAGAAAACGGAATTCGTCTCTTTGCTGATGCAGTACCATTTAACATTGAAGAATTTCCAAAAGTCACGGATCTACTTTATTTCTACGAGAAGTTTTAGCGTCAGATTCGTTGGCAAAATATCTCGTTACTGTCATGTCACAATTGTTGACAGAAAAGAATGTGCATGAATGAACACTTAAACAAATAACTATTCCCTGATTATTTTACTTATTCAGTCACAGCAATAAAAGCTGATATTTCCATAATCAACCTTAACAGGGAACATTAAGAACTCTTTGTAGCGCGATATTCTCGTTCTTTCTTTCTTTCTTTCTTTCTTTCTTTTCCAGTCTTTCTTTCTTTCTTTCTTTCTTTCTTTCTTTCTTTCTTTCTTTCTTTTCCAGTCTTTCTTTCTTTCTTTCTTTTTCTTTATTTTTATTGATTTCCCACTTTTTCATATTTTTTGTTAAAAATATAATTTTTCTCTTTTTTAGATTTGCCTTCCTTTCTTTCTTCCTTTCTTTTATTCTTGCCCCTTTTTCCTTCTTCCCTTTCTTACTTTCTTACTTTCTTTCTTTTCCAGTCTTTCTTTCTTTCTTTCTTTCTTACTTTCTTTTTTTTCCAGTCTTTCTTTCTTTCTTTTCCAGTCTTTCTTTCTTTCTCGTAATTATATTTATCTCTGTCAATCATTTCTTTCTTCCTTAATCGCCATTTTTTTTTCTTTTCCCATTCAATTTCCTTTCTGCCATTCGGATTACAATTTCATCTTGATTATCATCTCTTCTATCGCCAGCATCGTAAAAAAAATAAAATATCGTCTTTGGATATTCTTTTCGAAATCTCTCTCTCTCTCTCTCTCTCTCTCTCTCTCCCTCCCGTGTCACACGTGTCATATGAATCTCAATCGGCGATGACGCCATGCATTTATAGCGATACGGGAACAATTCCTACACTCACCTTAATTTGGATCTTTTCCATTGGTCCGCTACCGTTTTAACTTCCTTTTCCAACATATTATTACATTCTCTTTTCACTTGTCATTGACAATAAAACCAGCGCTACTTATTCGAAACGTCCCCGACTCGCGCAAACTCTCCCAGATTTGAGACATTTTGTTTTCGTTCTGTCTTTTAGTTTTTTGCTTTATAATGGTTTTCAGACTTTCGTAGTTTTCTTATAAAAAAGGTCTTTCCCGGCAGAATTCCGCCTTTGTTATTTGGAGGCTTCCTATATTGGGATCGACTTTATTACTCGCCTATTCACAATTTGTTCTTGTTATCGGGTAATAAGAGATACTATCGTGCACCACTTTGTATAATATTACGTAGACACAGGATTACATACAGTCATACACGTTTATCTATATCATTCTCTTCGTATCTATCTATCTATCTATCTATCTATCTATCTATCTATCTATCTATCTATCTCATTTTGTTCATTATCTATCTATCTATCTATCTATCTTTTGTCTATCTATCTATCTATCTCATTTTGTTCATTATCTATCTATCTATCTATCTATCTATCTATCTCATTTTGTTATCATTATCTCTATCTATCTATCTATCTTATCTATCTATCTATCTATCTATCTATCTATCTATCTATCTATCTATCTCATTTTGTTCATTATCTATCTATCTATCTATCTATCTATCTATCTATCTATCTATCTATCTATCTATCTATCTATGAAGAAAACCCTGTCAGCACTCGAAAGAGCGATAACAGTTACTGGACTTGAGAAACATATTTTTTTTCTGAAAACAGAGAAAGATTTTATACATTTCCATCGACAGTAGCACTATTGGTTGCTCACTCAATGAATGACAAATGTTTCCTTATAATGAAGCGGCTAATATTACTATTACCATTAACATATATGCTTTAACAGTCTTAATGAATTGGTAGTAACATGGTAGCAATAGTAATAGGGTTAAGATTATGAGAATAGTTTTCAATGTTGCATAAAAGTATAAAGATAAACATTTCTCACATATATGCGTCGTTGATGTGTTCAGCTGAAATTTCTGTGACTCTGTTACCACGTGTGCCCTTACGACCGCATATTCTTTAACTACTGCTGGTCAAAGTAGCAACACATTAATTCTGCTCCCTACTACTAGTGTAGTAATGGATAGCGGCTCGGATTGAGGAATCGGAGAGCCGAGTTCAAATTCCAGTCGAATCCATTACATTCACTTATCCTTGAATCCTCTTCTTCTCCATCTAGTTATGGGTAAATAGCCTTGGATGGCAATTGGTCTACCGCTGAAAGAAATGGCAACCTACTGCAAGAAAACATCTGCCTCGTCAGTTATGTATCGAAGCTTGTATCACGCACAGCACATAACTGACTGACTGACTGACTGACTACTAAGTTGCAAATGAGCGAAAGACCAACAAAACTTGAAGGCAAGGATTATGACAGCATTCTCCAATTTAAACATGGAGACCGTCCAGAAAAAGTACAGGAAATTCCAAAGTCGTATGGAGGCCGTGGTTGAAGTCAACGGCGATTTATTGAATAAATTTACTCTTTAGTATTTTAAGATGTTTATATGTAATTTTGGCGGATATATCTGTTAAAGTGAAATGTCAGTGTTAGTTTAATTTGTGTTTATATTTCGACAATCGCATCCTGCATACAATATAGACTTAGTATTGAAATATTGAAATTATCAATCTTGTTAGGCAGATTTTTACTACTCTAATGAATTTAATTTTTAATTTAAGTCTACATTGAAACATCAGTAATCGTACTATCACCGAAGTTAAGCAACGTCGAACTTGGTCAGTAGCCAGATGGGTCACCATTTCGAAATAACAGATGCTGTAAGCTTAGATCTGCAGGTGATGTAGTGGATAACGGCTCGGAATTGCCAAATCAGAGAGCAGAGTTAATTCAGCCAGGCTGGTTACATTCGCTTTATATTCACTTACGCGCAGATACCTTTGAATCCACCTCTTCTCGCCCCAGCTATGGGTTCATTAGTAAGATTCGTATAAGTAAATCATTTGTGTCTCCAAGAAAGAAAATCTTACAATATAAAACTATTTTCTGAAAAAATACGGTCCACCAATTACATTTGTCTTTTAATCAAGATTGTTAATCTTTTGTCTTCGGTGACATTCTTGCAGGTATGAAAAATAGATTTTTTGCCAAGTCACAAGGCCAAACTCAAGACTCCATCCACAGAATTCATTAACTTGTATCCTATTTAGCGGAATATAGAAAGTGACGTCCATTATTAGCCTCTGGGACATGGAAGGAGTGCATTACTGCAGACAGCAAATATATTGGTTAAAAAAAAAAAATTCCGCCTTAAGTATCCTTCTTTGTTTATACAGACAAAATGTGTTCATCTCCAGTATGATAAAGCAAGGGCATACAACTCTGCAAAACAAACCCAAGAAAATAACCTGAAAAATTAACGTATTAAAATATTAAATTAAAATAAAATTAAGCCGTAAAAAACAAATCACCCAATGATATCTTCGTCTATGACTTGTGTTAGATTTAATTAAACATTGTAAAAATACCTATTGCTTATTTCGAGAAGTTTTTATTACTTTTTACGTACTAAAAATAGATACTTATTTTTCTGAAAACCTCTTCTTGGAATTATTTTTTCTGTCGGCTTTTTTCTTGCTAATAAATTTTTATATTATTGTTTAAAGAATATCTTTGAATTCGTTCACTTTTTTCTTTTATCTAAACCGAATCTTTCCTTTTCATTTCACTCTTCGTCTTTCTTGTCTTGGTATGACGTTTAATATGAAAACTTGTCTTGAACGGTAAAGGATATGAATTATTACTTCGTTCCGGTTATGGAGCTGAAAGTTTTTAATAAGAATTGATTGCAGCCATGCACCCTGTCGGCATTTCCCATCACCACCTGTCGCTCTTTTATCGGCCTACCCCTCACATCAGCATGACCATCGCCGTCATTATCTCCCTTTTATAAAGGCTCGCAGTATAATATCAATATAGCCGTTATCGATCTCTCTCCGCCTGGAAAGCGTCAATTTGATTTTTATTCATTAACTTAGCAGCTATGATCCTATTGAAGGTATTGTGATTTCTAGCCTGGTTCAGAGTGAACAAATCTAATTCTTGTTAATGATGCCATCATCGCCATAGCTGGGGAAAGCTTTCATTGACACTTCGAAACGCCATTGCAAGAATTGGAATTTTTAGAATCATTGCTAGGTTCAAGGTCTTCGCCATCATCTATCACAATCAATAGCATCGTCACAAGTCGAGATTCCTTCCAGTCATTATCAATAACAATATCATCAGCGTCTTCTCCTGGCCATTGTAGTCGTTCTTAGCAATCATTTTGTCAGCATCAACGTCATTTATTTGTATTCTTATACTGCAGTTCACCCACAACAAATCCCAAGATCGTCACAAGTTAGAGGGTTACTGAACTTGTTTACTGTAAGGGTATAAAAAGAGGAAATGAGAAGCGTGTATTCGGAGGATATGTAGTAAAGATACCGGCTGGACTTAGATTTGAGGCAGTTAAATTCGATGAGGCGTCCTTTCGGGAGATCTTTTTCACAAAATAACATGTCTTGAAAGAAGCTGTCTGAGTGGAACTTCTTCCTTCCCAACAGAATATTAGAGGAATGAGGATGAGTTAACCAAGTTTGGACCGTGAGCGTCGCCTGGAGACTCTGTGAAGGTTTGAACATGTGGAACCCAGGAATGTAGCTCATCTGAACAGCTACGATGAAAATAGCAAGAGAATAGCGAGAGGCTAACGACTTTCCGCCTGTGGGGAAAGAGGCTGTAGGGTAGAAAATAATTAATCACCCCAAAATTGTGTACTCTTGTAAATATAGATTATGGTAGGAGGTACCGGTTACGCTCTACTAGAGAGCCTTTTTAAGCATTTCACCCCAAGCAAGGCGGAAGTGCTACTAGCTCGCAAGGGGTTACAGAGAGTGAGAACAAAAGTAAAGAGGGGGGTGTTTGAGGAAAGGATATAAAGAAGGACGGGGATCGGAATCAAGGCACCAGAAGATGTCGATTGACATTACATTTGAAGATTTGAAGTTTATACCTATCAGGGAAGCAAGTAAGAGGAAGGGAGTTCCACTGGCGGGAAGTGCGTGTGAAGAATCTGTTAGAGTAGAAGAGGCGGTTATATTTAACTCTTTTGACAGTGAAAGTGTGGGCCCGAGATGCCAACCTAGTAGCACGCTTAAATTCATGCAGTTGGCTTACCAGTGAAAGTAGCTCGTCAGAGGAGATGCCATGAAAATATTTGTAGAAAAGACAGAGGGAATTCACATCTGTGAGAAAGTGACTGTAGACGAGATGCCAGATCAGTACACAGAACGGACCATGTTTCCAGCATCTTTATCGATGGATTGTATATACGACTTCTACTTGAGGTCAGGAGTGAGTTTGAATAGACGATCAAGGAAAGAACTCTTTTTGAGAATACAACCCTTAATGTCGACTGGAGAAAATGCTGGGTATGCTCGGTGATATTAAATCTCTGAATTGCGAAAGCATCCATCATTTATAGACGAAATCTTTCTATAAATTTATAACATAATTATTCAGTCATGAAATTATATCCTTGACTTGCTATGATCATACGATATATTAGTTAAATTGAATATTTCCATCCTATCGATTAAAGTCATTTTCTTGGGTTTGTTATGCAACGTTGTCTGCCCTTGACTTATCAATGCTGGAAATGAGCACATTTTTTTATTTAACAAAGGCGGACACTTAAGGCGGAATGCTTTTTTTTTAACCAATCAAATTGCTGTCAGTAAATGTCTGCAGCAATGCGCTCCTTCCATGTCCCAGCGTCTAGTAATGGACGCCACATTCTATATTCCGTCAGGCTACTACTTAAGGAATTCTGTCTTGAGTTTGGTCTTGACACTTGGCAGTTGGCAAAAAATCTAGTTTTCATACTTGACAGAATGTCATCGAATACAATAGGTTGATAATCTTGATTAAAAGATAAATGTAATTGGTGGACTGTCTTATTCGGTTTTCAAGCGAAACCTCACGATGAAAATCATTTCCTTCTAGGTTAGTTTTCCTAATGAATCTCTAAAACGCTCAATAAACGAGAGAATATCGGATAGAAAATATGATAAACTAATTCTAGACACATATTCCTACTATTCAACCGATCAGTTGACACATAATTCATAACTGTGAAATAGATTATTAGATTCCTAACAAACGAACACACACACACACACACACACACACACACACACACACACACACACACACACACATATATATATTTATATATATATTTATATAATTTGGAATATTGTCAGATAGAACGGAGTTAAGTTCATTACAGCTTCAATCTAACAGCAAGGCTCTTTTATGTTTGTTTTGGAGCCAACATTTCGTTTCATATTCTTTTAGTTGATGACGATATCGGCATTCTCAACATGAATAAAAACCATTATCGCAAACTGAAAATCAAAATTATTCTTATTATATTCATTATTAATTTACATTGTGTTATATATTTTATCCGGTGACATCTGCATAAAATCATAACAACAACAGATTTACTTTTGACTCTTGAATGAATATTCTGTAAACAAAATATTTTGATGCATTTATTACATAGTCTTACGTATTAATTTATTATACGTTTTTATGCACATTTGATATATTGCCTTGTGTATGCTTTGCTATACTGTCTTATGTATTCTTTAACAGTTAAAAAAAAATTCTTAATATATTTTCATTACTACCTTCCATTGAATAACTTTGTAATAATATCGCAATTATAACGGCATTATTTTTTAAAAATTAATTTTGGTTAAATTACAATAAAATAAATGAAATCCTCAAATAAAATATTGGATAGTTATTCTTCTTGTCAAGACTCTGTTCAGATTATACTGTTAAATATAAATATCAAGGGTTCGCAAAAGCCATTTTCTTCCAGATATGGCATGACCTCCATTTGTCCATTGTTAAATCTGCCAAGTAGCTTAAAGTTAGTTGTAATGTTTATCTCGAGATTCCATCTTCAACAATATAACCTTTGTTCATTTTCTGCTTAATGCTCACAGAGAAGCCAGCAACTGATTCCATCTAAGATGGCCACTTTTACAAAACTTTCTTTTATCTCTTTCTCGATTTTATTCAGATTTTATCAGTTTCGGATTTTCTTTCTTCTATCGTTTTTCTTGCTTTCTATCACCTTTTTTCGTAAGTAAATTTTGCTTTCTTTTTTTATACATTTTTTCTTAATTCATTGATTCTTTTTTCTTTCTTTCTTTCTTTCTTCACTTGCTCATTTTCTATTAACGCCTTTTTTCTTTCATTCTTTTGTCTTTTTCCTTTCTTTCATTCTTCATTCTTCTATTGTCTTTATAGCTTTCTTTATACTTTTCTTTTTCTTGATTGCTTTTTATCGTTTTTCTTTCTCAACTAATTCCCTTCTTTTTTTTTAATACTTTTTCATTCACTTATATTTTCTTTCTTTTTTTCCTTCTTTCTTTCTTCTAAACTTTTTTATTTTCTACTGTCTCTTTCTTGTGTCTAGTTTTCTTTCTCCTATCGTCTTTCTTTCTTTCTTTCTTTCTTTCTTTCTTAGCTTTATTCTTGCCCCTCTTTTCCAGTCTTACTTCTTTCTTTCTTTCTTTCAGTATTTTTTCTTTCTTTTTTCTTCTACTTTTTCTATTTCCTTTCAACTCTCGCTTTATCTATCTTTCTTTTCTACTGTTCCTCCTCTTTCTTTCTTTCTTTCTTTCTTTCATTTCGTCCACGTTCTTTTTCTATTTCATCATTTCTGTTCCCTTCTTTTTTTCTTTTCTTTTCTTTCTTCAAACTTTTCCTATTTCCATCTTTTTATCTTGTTCTTTTTTCATTTCAATTCTACTGAAGTTTGATGTTATTCTTCAGTTTGTTACTCTTTCCTATTAAAGTGTTTATCTCTGTTAACTCTCGACCTAAACTCGAACTCCGCATCTCCTTTGCCTCAACATCCGACAGTGAGGCAATTTCTAGACTGAAGCAAATCACATCATATTGCCTCCATCAAATTGACTCTTGTTATAACCTGGTTCAGTGTCACTTGGTGAGAGTCAGACTCATAAGGACAGGTCAACAGGTGCATATTATCAGGATACGTAGGACATATAATGGATTATCCTAGACTTGAAGACGTTAATATTGTAGTAATCGTAGAGGCATTCATTCGGGACTCCCTTCCACAATGCACCAGTTCTGAGGAAGAGGCTATCTGAGTGGAACTTCTTCCTTATCAATGGAATATGAAGGGAATGAAAATGAGTCGATTCCATGTAGGTGGCATGGGCGGACCTGATTTTAGAGGCTGACGGAGATTATATGGTTGATTGACATGACACACTTTTCAGGTCCGATTTATTGGCATCCTCTTTTGTGCGCCGTAGCATTTCATGGTTCTCCACGACTTCCTATCTTTTGCAGCACTTAGCGATGTTATCCAATTAATATACATCTCACTCCTTGTTCTGTCATTCATTTACACAAGCCCATTCAGTAGGTTTATCATGGCTCTCCACTATTTCCTGTACTTTGTAGCACTTAGCAATGTTTTCCCATTACTATACCTCCTACTCCCTGTTCCGTCTTTGATTTACACAAACTCGTTGATAGATTGATCATGACTCTCCACTACTTCCTATCCTTTACAGCACTTGGGAATATTATTCAATTACTATACGTCCTAACCCTTGTTCTGTCATCCAGTTACACAAGCTCGTTAGGTAGGCAACTTACCATTTCCCCTTGTCCTTCTTTTTCTGTGAGTTGAAAGTTCTCTAGATCCTCTTTTACTCTTTTAAAGACAATAGGAATCTCAATGTCAGATAATATGTCTTTGAGATTTCTACTGTCTTTTTCTAATTCTAATTATAATCGTCCTTTTTATTTCAGTTTTCCTTAAAACTTTGTCGTTGCTCACATGATAAGTTCATGATATGCTGCTGAATGAATGCCCCCCCCTACACAATTAATCTCTTCGAGTCTAGGATAAACTCTTATCTATCCTACGTATCCTCATAAAATGCACCTCTTGGCCCGTCTTTGTGACATCTCACAGCAAACTCATTTAGTAACTATCTTCCTTAATTGGAAGTTGGAGGCTTCAGTTTGGTGAATTAATAATAAAAAAAAATGGGAATATTTTATTACCAAGATTCGAACGCCAACTACTGATAGCAGTGTGAAATATATAACTGTTTGTGACAAAAGACAAGCTGACTCATCTACGTGTATTTTGGGAGTCTTTCTTCCAAGGAAAGGTTTTCAGTTCCCCAAAAGTTATATTGCACGATGTGACTTCGTAAAGAAATCAAATATTGAAAGCTTGTCAAAAACATTTGCGTGAATTTTTTTACAGAAAGTCGCCTATTTTCCAAAAAGAAAAATCAAATAACAATTTCTCTGGACGAACAAAAGAATACGTGGGCGCCTGGCATAGAGTACGCGAGATAAACAATTCACTAAGGTGCTGAGTGTGATCTTCACTGGTGTCCCTCTAAAGTGGCCCTTAGCTTACCCAGCATTTTGTAATCTACCGGGGTAAGATTGTTAACAAGCATTTTTTGTAATCATTTAGCCTCAATAAAAGGAATAAAGCCACTAAGGCGCAAGTGGTTACTGAGTGTGAATGAATACCAGATAAGAACATATTAAGAAGAGAGAACAATAAAAGAAGAGGAATTAAGAAGTAGATGGATTATTGCTGCAATTGCTGGGTTGGAGGTGCTCACTCTTCAGTTTGCAACCTTCAATTTTGAAGATCAATGATGACTGGAAAGCAAGAAACTGGAAGAGATATCTATATGTGCGGAAAGAAACTGTGAGCATAGATCTTACAGTTATATCTAGCAATTTAAACTGTAAAGTGATGGGACAAAACCGCCAATCAAGTACTGCACTTCAATTCATAATGTGGAGATACCATAGAGGAAAGAAACATTTCGTTTGAAAATGCAAAAATGTGGCACAAGGTCAAAAGTGGGGGATAGAGGAAGGCTGGACTTAAACTTAACTAATCATAATTACTGAACACAAATAAACAGATTCTTACTTACCATTCTTACTACAGCCAATATTATATCTCAGAATCTCCATGGAGTCCTAACTCGTTCCCATATGTGCCATAAAGGAAATTTCCTCAGAACAATTATCATGAAAATACTTATAGAAAAGGTACAGGGAGTCTACATGGTGATAGAAACCGAGCTGTCATGTCAGGACCAATAACAGGCCAAATTCTTTGGATTTTATCAAGAATCTCTAAATACATAACATGAACACCAGATTATATGTGGCAGAAATCACAAACTAATATACTAGTCTGTTCAATCTTTATGAAGTGTTCATTTTCTTTCGCCCTGCGTCAGACGAACCTTATTTTAGTGTTGTGGTAAATCCTCCTACAGTAGAATGAGCTCTTCCACCTCTCATGAATACGAACTGCGAGAGTCGGATAGCGCGTGTAGAGTGGAAAGTGAAGTGTAGTATTAGACGCAGTGCTAATCTACTTATTACTAACACTATTGTTTTGTATATATCTTCAATATACTTTTACAACTTACCTTCGTCTTCCGTGTCTTTCTGGTCCCTAAACAGGCCACAACATTTAGTCAATATGTTAGAGGTCAAAATGGTCGGTTCGTTCTATCGTTCAAGTACCAGCCTCCTTCTATTATGCCTGTATCTTTTCAAGAATAAGATTAAATAAAAAATGAAGTATTGTTGCAATCGCTGGATTGGAGAGTTGCTCAATCCTCACTTTCCATTCTTGGCAAAGTTCAAAAACGGTTTTGTAGAACATGTCTTATTTTCCGCTCTACAGTCTTTGCCACAGATACAACGTTGCAAATCTATCGTTACTCTATCGCTATTTCCATGGCAAATGTTTACACGATCTCCAGTCTTGTCCCACTAATTCAGACCTTCCTAGCCAGAAATCGCTATGCTTTGACCACGGATTTAAATCAGTCACACTTCACGCGTATTCCAAATGTAAGGATGAAGTTGCAGCCACAGAGATTTTCCTGGGAGTTTTGCTATTTTGTGGGACAGAAATCCGCGTGGATTTTTCCCTGAATACTAGAATCTTAACCACTTCAAAGTCAAGATTGAATCACTATCTACCTTATCGTCATATTCTTCACTTCTTCCATCCTCTTCTTACACAACTCATTCAGTCACCCTCTACCATGAACTACTCTTGAGTCTTCTGTTGGATGAAGCAAGAAAAGAAAAAAAAATGGTGATTAATTTCGGCGCATAGATGGTAGTTTGGGGCATATATGGATGGGAGAGCGCCTTGGTAATTAATTCATCACACAGACCGCAAGTAATGTAACTTGTCAAAAAAAAAAAAAAAAAATGAAATGGTGTCGAGACATCAAACATCTTTTGTAAATCACTTGAGGGCGCTAAATCTGAAAATAATATTCCTTTTTCTTGGTTAGCTGTCGTTTTTGCTGTACAGAAATGCCTCATTTTTGAAAAAAAAAACATTTTTTTATTTGTTTTCTGCATATATGATATTGATCGATGGCAATATTTCTCCAAATAAATTCGTAGAAACCTTTCAATTCGTATTTAAATCAACAAATATTGGCCTGCTTAATGAGAAATACTATTTTTGCAATAACAATCAGATCCTAAGTTTTTTTTTTTTAAATAACACGATTGAATATACCAAGATCAACAATTATTTTCATCCAATCATTTAATAAAGTAACAGCAGAAATAAAACGCTCGTGGACGTAAGAACTATGTTAAAACTTTTCTCTTTCTTTATTGTCTTTCCTGTTTGATACTCCATCAGTATCATATACAATGGAATAGGTGCATTCAATTGGAATGTCTTTAGTTTGAGTTTCTTTCCAACTGTGAAAAAAAAAATGCTCTCAATGTGCTTGGTTTCCTTTCGTAGTGAAGCGATAAAAGTGACGGAATAAATTTATGAATATCAAACAGAAGATTTTAGGGTTTCATCTTTTTGATGTTACCTTAATTATCAGGTTTACTAAAGTGTAATACTGATAAAGTTTATCAGTTAATTTAAATTTTGGCGATAGATTGGAAGAATTTGGTACTTTTATTTTAAAATTTTTGACTCAAATAAAATTAGTTCATTTCAGGTGACTGAGATAAATTTCTCGGTCTACCTGAAAATTGATGCATTTCTACGACCTTTTTTTTTAAACTAAATCTTGCGATCCGCCAAGATCGTAAATTGATCTTTTTTTTCAAAAATAAGCAAATTTCAGTACAGCAAAAATGGCAGCTAACCAAGAAAAACTAAGATCTTTTTTAGAATCAGCACAATCGAATTAGCTGAAAAACAGGTTTTGTTTCTTGACACCAAAAATCTTGTTTACCAGTGTAATCATTCATAGTTTTATACCAAATAAAACTTAGCTTAGTGAATACCTATACGTAAATGTCTACTTTTGGGGATTGAAGCATTTGATAGTTGCGTGAGGCTATGGATTGGCGTCTGAAATGTCTTGCTCCTCAGGGCCTAGGCCTCGACAACGTTGTAGAGATGGCAGACAGTTACTCATGCAGAAACAATCAACT